AACCAAAGTCGGGCAAAATATTAGATAATAGGCGAAAACCATCCAGATATGTTAGAAAAATAATAAAAGCAGACAAAAAAAAAAGATGCAAGTTAAACAAAATTCAAGAGTAGAAAGCCTACTCTCACTATATAAGTGGCATCTGATGATTGAGAGTAACAAGTCTACTCTCACTAAACACATGGTATTTGAAGACTAGGAGCAAGGACATTGAAAAATTAGGAGTGGCTTACAAAGTATACTGCAAGCCTACAAAAAATTATGACCACAATTTTATTCTAGTCATAAAACCAAAACTAAATGTAGGATTAAAAGTAGATTTTTTCTTAAGAGCTATCAGGATCTGTAGCACAAAGTACCTTGAAGTGTTAATAAATTTTCACTTTCATGCATACTTCATCAATTAGCGCAAGAAGAAAGAAAGTTTGATTTTTAACACTGCTAGGACAGAACACCAGCAACAATTACTTCGGGTGCCAAACACCAGAGTCAAAACTTTTCACACCTTAGTCCAATGAAGTTACTACTACTGCTACTGGAACTATCACCCCCGAGGATCTCGCCAACAACAGATCAGAACAGACTACATAATCACAAATGGGAGTTATCTTATCCCATGTAGGAGGTTTAATAATTTACACTGGGAAAATTCCTAGATGCTTGAACACTAGACTAAGTGAACATAAATGTTTCATACATTAAAAATGTAAACTAACTTACTTCTCAGACTGGAAAATCGCATTGTAAAGTAAACTCACATGTCTGACAAGCGTTGCTTTAAGAGCTCTCAAAACCAAGTTATTAGGAAAAAAAAGTGAAAATAATCACCCATCTCTGAGAAACAAATTGCTAAACATCCAAAAGTGTATTTTCGGATCAGAAAATTCCACCATATTAAATCTATCAAAATTAAACTGACAAATACACGATGAAATTTATTGATTATTCTTTCTTTCTTTTCAGATTATGGGGTTGCAGGCAAAGAAATAAGGGAAGAGAAAAACAAACGAACCCTAGCACTAGCAATGAGACCATGGGCATTAACACCTCGACACGTGAACTGCTCAGTTCTTCATACACACGGCGCAAAACAAGATGACTGTGTAAAGCTTAAATAAATAAGAACACAGCACAGGACGAGCCACTGTTAACACTATTCCACAGACGGAACACAGGAACAGATGAGTGAATTCTTAGTAAAGTTATATAGAGCAAACCTAGGATTCTGGAACTTCTGTACGGTTGCAATGAAACCATACAAAACGTGAGAGGTTGTAGACTTAAACCATAAAACAAGCATTACACTAACAGGAATATGACACATATACGCAATGCATTACAAGAGGGCTGTGATATTGTTACTAAGATATACAAGGGACTAAGGTGTAATGGAACTGTTTTGTGGAGAACTGGAGAACTCAAGAGTCTGGGGTTGTGGCAGAGTTTCACAGAAACAACACATGGTTTCAATTGGAGTCTAGTAGCGAGTCGACAACTGCTGGAAAAAAAGACACCTACAGCATCATAAGATCTTTTATTATTGCAATGTTTCCATCTCCTTAGAGACTTTATAAAGCCTCTTGTAGATGAAAAGTTGTAATAATAAAACGTGTTATTTGCTTTAAGTGTCTTGGCCTCAGAATCCCAGAGATGGATGAGGGAAACATGACCAAGATTTTTTCATTGTTTTCCCAAAGTGTTATCCATAAATATCTCCTTTCTATTTCATTATTTCATCTGCATTTTTAATAACAAATCCAGAATTAGGAATGCTGTTTCGATATTTTTTAAATTTAATTTAAAAATCTTCGATATTATTAACATAAAGGCTTCAGTTTTTAAATATATGTAATTCTGTTTTACAAGAGTCTGATATGAGATATCTAAAAAACAAGCTTCTTTTAACGTAATATATTATCCATTTACGGACATATAATAAGACAAATTTAAATGCCTACTGATACTTTACATTAATATTTTAAAAGAACTAAAAAGAATCCCGGTTAAAAGTTTTTTTTACTAAGAACTCCGTCAATAATTATAATTTAACCCCTTTAGGGACTATTAGATTGGACTGCTCAAAGGGTTTTATATATTTACAGGCGGATCTTATATGGATAATCAACTGTACAGTTAAATGGTTCATTTAAATGATTTGTTCAATTTAAATGATTTATTCTCGTCTTTACAACTTGGATATTCGATTTCGTTTTTCATCAAAGAATCTCCCGTGGATGAGAGATACGGATCCGCATGTACCACTCGTGACCACTGCCAAGATGCAGGAGGAAGATGCACGAGAGCATGCAGTGAGGCGAGCGAAGAAGAAATAGCCAACGGCTGCCACGGGACCGGCTGCATATGTTGCGCTCCTAAGAAAACGAGTGAGTGTATTGTTTCCCCTCCCTCCCTTACTCTCTCACCTGTTTCAATAACCCTCCCTTACCCTTCCTCACCTCTTTGTTTTAACGACCCTCCTTAACTCTCGTACTCACCTCTT